ACCCATAAGTATAATGACATGTTTTTCCAGGGGTACATCCACATACATACCCTCCAATAAATCCCCATTGCCCTCTTGACTGGCTTATCTGTAAATACAAGGACACATGAAATCCTGTGGTGAACGGTGGTGGAAGAGGCATTTCATGCTTAAGATAGAAGCACAACCACCTGTTCGTTTCCCCAGACAACCCTGGGTCAGATGCAGTTCATCTGAGACAGTGGGAGCGGGCAGGCATCCAACTGGTTGGCTTTTAGGCCCAACTCTGCCAGTCACGGTGAAACCTTGGGCAAGTCACTTCTGAACCTCAGTTTCCTCATCTGTAAAATGGAAACACTGTTGGTGAAGACCAAAAGAGGGGAAAGGTGAAAATGCGTCCTACATTGCAAAATGTTATACAAGTGTTAATTACTTATTAGTGATCTTAAGCCAGACCTGTAACTTCTTTTTTATTTATTTATTTATTTTTTTTTTGAGACAGAGTCTTGCTCTGTTGACCTGGCTGGAGTGCAGTGGTGCAATCTCGGCTCACTGCAACCTCTGCCTCCCAAGCTCAAGTGATTCTCCTGCCTCAGCCTCCCAAGTAGCTGAAATTATAGCCGGATGCCACCAAGCCCGGCAAATTTCTGTATTTTAGTAGATACAGGATTTCACCATGTTGATCAGGCTGGTTTGAAACTCTTGACCTGAAGGGATCCACCCACCTTGGCCTCCCTAAGTGCTGGGATTAGAGGGTGAGCCGCTGCGCCTGGATGACACTTAACTTCCCTAGACTTCAATCGATAGTGAAGAATTATGTGAAGCTCATCCTTGCCACTCATAGCTGTGGTAACAGTAATGCAGGGGATGGTGGCTGTGTCATTGGGGGCCATTATGACAGCCCTCCCTTCACCACACCAGCATATTTTTCCCAAGGAGGCGGCTCTAACTGCCAGGAGGCTCACTTTCCTATTTCAGATAAGTGAAGAAAGCCATGGAGTTAGCTCACCATAAAAAGGGATTGTTATAAGGATTTAAAAGTTTCAACCCAAGGGCCGAGATATAGCCAGGCATCAGGAGCAGGCTAGGATTAGGGACTGGAAGCCTGTCAGAAACTCAGGAAACCCTCCCTTGTAATTTCTTTTCTCTGTGAGTCTACTTCATTCTCCACATGAAACAAAACTTCAGTCATTGCCAAAAGCTTCCCAGATTTACGTCCTCTGAAACCGGAATCTCTTAGACCCCATCTCAGGATTCCAGGGGAGGGAACTCATTGGCTTAGCTTGAGTCAGGTGTTCACTGCTGAACCAATCAACCGTGAGGACACAGTGTAGACAAACATAGCTGTTCGCATATTGCAGTGGATGGAAGACAGTAACAGGGGAACCCAGTAAGGGTCAACCACTTCCTTTTTCTCAGGAGTCCTTGCATCCCTAATGCTTTCTTTCTGATCTCATTCAGCCAACGGGCATGCTGCTTGTGTCCTGCAGCAGGGTCGGTTGCTGGTTGTGGACTATGCCACCTGCTCCCGCCCTGACTGGTGGGGCAGCACCGTGAAACCCTGTATGATCTGTGCTGGGGGTGATGGCGTCATCTCCAGCTGCTACGTGAGTACCAAAATCAGGGGCCCCGCTCAGTGACAAAATGTGGCTTGGGATAAGGCTATAGAAGTCCATCCCTCCATAGGTACATCCTCCCTCCTCCTGGCAGAAGTACTCTCTAGAAATATGTTCCAGATATATCAGAACCCAATCTTTGTCCAGGCACTGTGACTCTTGCCTATAAAGGCGGCCAGAACACTTGAGGTCAGCAGTTCGAGACCAGCCTGGCCAACATGGTGAAACCTTGTCTCTACTAAAAATACAAAAATTAGCCAGGCGTGGTGGCGGGCACCTGTAGTCACAGCTACTCAGGAGGCTGAGGCAGGAGAATCACTTGAACCCATGAGGCAGAGGTTGCAGTGAACTGACGTCACACGACTCCAATCCAGTCTGGGTGACAGAGTGAAAAAAAGAAACAAAAACTTGATCTTGGTTCTGGTTTGTTCTTGTTTTGAGATTCTCCTTGTCGTGTCCACCCCTCTCACTGCTGGGAAGTCCTTCCCTGGGTCTCATCAAGGTCTCTCGTGATTGTCATTCCGTATCCTTTCCTCTATGCTGGAAGGGAACCAAAGGAAAGTATTCCCTGACTTTGGGCCTTTCTAGGATGACTTCTGGGTTTTCTGTTGAATTACTCTCATCAATGGCCCAGCGTGTCCCCTCCAGGTAGCTGCCACAGAAGCCTTCCCGGAGACAGTGTCTTAACCACCAGGAATTGCTCTGTGTTGGAACAATAGAAATGCATTGAGAACAATGGTTCCAATGGGCAGCCCCTTCCTCTCCCTTTACCCTTCTGTAACTCTGGCCTTCCTCAGGGAGACTCTGGCGGGCCGCTGAACTGTCAGGCAGCTGACGGCCGGTGGGAGGTGCATGGCATCGTCAGCTTTGGGTCTAGCCTCGGCTGCAACTACCCCCAAAAGCCGTCCGTCTTCACACGGGTCTCCAAATACATCGACTGGATCAATTCGGTAAGAACCGGACGAGCCCAAAGCCCCAGGGCACTTACCTGCCCACCTGGACTTGGGAGTGCCGTGCCCACCTGGCAACTGAGAACCCCCTCCTTCCTCTTGAGAGCTAGATGGGAACCCCTTGGAGGAGGCTGCAGACCTTGGCAATGCTGGGCCCCCCATGGGACCCCAAAATTTCTGTGTGGGTAAAGCTGAGTGAAAAGCAACATAGAAGGTGGCCATGTCCAAAGAGGTTGGACACTCCTCAAGCATATTAAGAGTGAGTTCTGCCAGACACGGTGGCTCAGGCCTGGAATCCCAGCATTTTGGGAGGCAGAGGCGGGCAGATCGCGAAGTCAGAAGGTCCAGACCAGCCTGACCAACACGACAAAACCCCATCACTACTAAAAAAAATACAAAAAAATTAGCCAGCTGTGGTAGCGCACTCCTGTAAACCTAGCTACTCAGGAGGCTGGGGCAGGAGACTCCCTTGAACCTGGGAGTTGGAGGTTGCAGTGAGCCGAGATTGCGCCATTGCACTCCAGCCTGGACAAGTGAAAAAAAAAAGTGAGTTCCATAGGAATGGTGATTTTATTTTTGTGTATCTGTGTGTGGCCCAGACTCCACCATCCAGTGCTATAAACAGGTATATTTGTCTGCAAAGCCCAAAACCTGATTCTTTGAGACCCCCATAGCATTAATTACTGGAAATTAGTCCCCTCAGGGGTCTTCCAGCTATTCTGTAGGGTGACCGACCATCCCGGTTTGTGCAGGACTGAGAGGTTTTCCAGGATGCAGGACTTCCTGTTTTACTCTGGGACCATCCCAGGCAAATAAAGCCAAATTAGTCCCCCTATCTTGTAAATGTAAACTCAGAGAGCTGTGTCCTTTCAGCTTCCACAATAACTCAATTTGCTTTTCACAATGAACACACACTTGTTTATAACAATAAGCATTAACATTATTTATTAAAAATAACAGGCCAGGTGCCATGGCTCATGCCTGTAATCGCAGCACTTTGGGAGGTCAAGGAGGGAGGACTGCTTGAGCCCAGGAGTTCAAGACCAGCCTGGGCAACATAGCGAGACTCTGTCTTTACAAAAAAAATTATTTAATTACTTAGGCATGGTGGTGCATGCTGGTAGTCTCCGCTACTTGGGAGGCTTGGGTGAAAGGATCACTTAGGCCTGCGAGCCCAACGCTACATTGAGCCAAGGTCACACCGATGCATTTCAGCCTGGGTGACACAGCAAGACCCTATCTCTGAAAATAATGATAATAATAACTGGCATCAATATTAAGGAGCAGCCATGGATACACGCAGCAGTAGGTGAAAGCAGCCAGAACAGGAAACCCTGTCACAAGAAAGGGGTGCCTGGTGGCTCATGCCTGTAATCCCAGCACTTTGGGAGGCTGAGATGGACAGATCACCAGAGGTCAGGAGTTCGAGACCAGCCTGGCCAACATGGGGAAACCCCATCTCTACTAAAAATG